GCGGGGTCGGACCGCTACGCCATGTACCGCGTGGGACCGCTGCTGTCCATCAGCGTGAGTGCAGCGCCGTGCAGCCCTGCCCCGTCCTCTGCTCTCAGCTTCTTGCAGAGTAAATTAGGTTGGATCAAGTCCAACCACCGACCCGTCCCTGCTATTCATTCCAGCACGGGCTCTCAGCTCAGTTGTGTTCGCTATTTAAAAAACATGGTATTCAAAATGAGTGTGCAGGAATTTTGCTCGTGAGATGAGCAGTGTGACAGTTCCTGGTAAAAACCCTTCCCACCCTGCACAAACTGTGAAGTGTGGCTGAAGGTATTCCCCTGACATGAGTTGCTTGGTCAGAACCTCCTCTGCTAGTGGTTACTCCCTGAGGACAGTGCTGGGTGCTGGGCTGGCCTGCAGGGTGCCTGGGCCTGGGGCTGCTTTCATGGCAGGGATCCCATCTGATTCCTCTGACAAAGCCAAGTCCAACCTGGCTGAGGGAATCAGTCTGATGTCCTGGGGATCAGCCCTGCAGGTGTTCCTTGGACCCCTGCTGCTCGCTGCCTTGGCTAAAAGAAAAAAAGTGGAGGCCTTTATCATAGGAAAAAAGGCTATGCTCCTGAGCATCTCGTACTTCTAAAAGCCAAGCCAAGAGCAGGTGGGTGCCTACAGTGGTGCAAAGAACTGAGATGGGAGGCATAGGAACAGGACAAGGGTCACCAGGGGGGCACGAGTTTTGCAGGAGCTCCGCCAGCCCCAAGTGGCGGCGTTGGGGCCACAACACAGCATTGAGGGCAGGAGGGGCTGGGAGCTCTGCCTGGGCAGGCTGCAGGAACAAAGCTCCCTGATAATGCCTGCTGGCCTCTACAGTGGGAAGAGGGTGTGATGCTGAGCTGAGCTCACTGCCGTCACCCATCCAGCACCTACAGAATGACTCTTTCTTCTCTCAATAGCATGGAATGGGGATCCCTTCTGTGTCCATCATGCTTCATGAGCTGATCAAACTGCTGCACCATGCCAAATGCCGAGATGTCACCATTATACGCATTGGTACTTCTGGAGGCTTAGGTGAGCTGTCCCATGACTTCTTTCTTTCCAGGCAAAAGGCTATTAGCAATTTTTTTCCCAGCAATTAGTCATGTCACTATGAGCTTTTGCATTTCGTCAGGCCCCCATGTGTCAGATAACATGATACTTTATTCTGGGTTTAAATCCAGCACAATCCTGGTGACCAGCTTAGCAGAGCATGTTTTTGTTATGCCTGCTGGGGCAGCGGTGCTGCTCACACCTGCACGGCCTGGTGCCAGGGCATGGCTCTGCATCCATCAGCAATTAAAGTGCCGTCACTCAGCATGCTCCCAGTCATTCATCATGTGCTGATTCTGTGCACTTTACTGATACATCTGTGCCACCACACAAATTCCAATTATTCCCTCACATCTGCTTCACTCACTAAAAACCCATCGCACAGATACCTGCAGGTATTTGTGGTGCTGAAGCCTTGCAGCAGATCACCAGCAACGGGGGCTCAGGCTTAGCCTCAGCCTCTGCTTTCCCAGGGGTGCAGGCGGGCTCCGTGGTGATCACAGACAGGGCGGTGGACGCCTGCTTCCAGCCGCGGTTCGAGCAGGTGGTGCTGGGTGACGTGGTGGTGCGGGGCACTGACCTGGATGGGGGCCTTGTGGAGGAGCTGCTGGCCTGCAGTAAGGCCATTCCTGACTTCCCCACGCTCGTCGGGCACACCATGTGCACCTATGACTTCTATGAAGGTAAGACGTGCTTTGGCTGCCCTTCCCCATGGGCAGAGCTATCTGTGCAGCCAGTCCTACGGGTTGCAGCTGTCCCAGCAGTGCGTCAGGGTCAGTTCAGAGCAGTGTGCACCTTCAGAACATGCATTACAAATCCCAGCACTTAGCCAGGCCATGAGTTCCTCTACTGATAGGACGTGTGTGCACCTGGCACCTCGTTACATTTGTAGTGTCACCCGTATGGCTGGCACTGCTGTAGGTGGTGGTGGAGCAAAGGGAGAGCCCTCTGGCAGCTGCTGCCCGGCCCAGCTGTGTCATGGCAGTGTGGGTGCATAGGGACTCCCAGCAGTGGGGGGCCGATGGCTTCGGGCTGTAGAGGAGCAGCCCTGGTCCATAGCCCATCCCTGCGGACAAGCCGTGCTCTGCTGCTCAGGACAGGACTGTAAGTTCATAATAGCCATGTCAGGAAGCGTGTGACGTTTGGGCAAACAAGCTTCGGTTACTCTGGAACTGTTTCCTTTTCAGAACAAAGTGCTGATTACAGAGTAGATGAAATGTAATAAATGAAGAATTAATCGACTGAAAACTATCTGTAGACCTCTGCTTGTGAATGCAACCATCTGTGTGTTCCTCAAGGCCACATTTTATTTAAATAGAAATTCATTAAGGGGATTAACAGTAGGAACAGCAACAAGATGCCACAGGTTCTGCTCACCCCAAGGAGTGAGACTGCACACTGCAGGAGGCTGCACAAGGTGCGGGGCGCTGGCTGCAGGGCAGGTGTGGGGAGAAGAGGCCCAGGGGGCACCGTGTGCAGCAGGTCCTTGGGGACCCGTAGGGCTGATGAAGGCTCACAGGGAGCAGCACGGGGAGCAGTGCCTCTGAAGCTGGTAATGCCACCTGCAAACAGCTCCCACTGCCTGCTGCCAGAGTCAGTCCCTAAAAGAACTAAACCTAAGTTAAAGGGGCTTTTCTCTCCCTGATTTTCTGCACAACTTGCTATGCCTCTCCCACAGTGACTTGGAGTTGTTTGAATTTAACCTGGCACACCTCCACCTGATGTACATCACAGGCCTCGGAGAGGCTGCGACCTTTCATTTGCCCCAGCACAGTGCCAGATGCCTCCTGCTCGGCAGCCGGGTCTTCCTTTATACAGCGTAAACCTACACTGATTTTTTTCTTCTATACAGAGACATAGTATGCTGGCCTGGAGTTCAGGTTAACTGGGACATGAGTGAGGTAACTGTGCAAAAGAAAACTCGGTCAGCTCCAGCCAAAACATTGGCACTGCAGACAGCCTGGGTCACTGAGCCTGCTGCCTGCAAGGGCAAGCCGTGACGGTTCTGTTTCCTTTCAAGGTCAAGGGAGATTAGATGGAGCTCTGTGCTCTTTTTCCAATGAAAAAAAGTTGGAGTACTTAAAGCGAGCTCATGATGCTGGTGTGAGAAACATTGAAATGGAGTCGACGGCGTTTGCCGCGCTGTGTGGGCTGTGTGGGCTGAGAGGTGAGTGCTGCCCTGGGCTGCCCTGCTCCTCCCTGCAGGGCCTGGGGCTTTGGTGTGTTATGAGCTGATGTGAAGGCCAAAATGCATTCCTAGCAATTTCCATTAGAAAAAGCACACTGAAACAAATGCCACGGCTCAATAAAATAATAAGCTTGTTTCAAAAGGCCCAAGTACCTGTTGGATAGAGCAGGAAGTACCGCCTCACCCCTCTCGTGGCCTGGGTGCACCCTCAGCTGCAGCGATGCAGCCATGTCCCAGCTCACCAGCCTCACGCCCACCCCACACCTTGTGATGCCCCACCTCAGGCAGCCCCCAGCAGCTCCCAGCGCAGCCCGGGGGCATTCAGCCGCCCTTGCAACGCAGCACTTGGGCCTTCTTGCAGCTGCTGTGGTCTGCGTAACGCTCCTGGACCGGCTGGAGGGGGACCAGATCCGGGCGTCCCACGAGGTGCTGCAGGAATACCAGCAGCGGCCGCAGCGCCTGGTGGCGGCCTTCATCCGGAGACGCCTGGGGCTGCATGCTGCTGCAGGGAACACGCGGCCTTCCAGCGACTGAGGGCACTGCCATCCCCACGCCACCGGGAGACCAACCCGCACCACGGGCAAATGGACCTGGAGAGCAGGAAAGACAGACCGGGGGGCCGCGCGTCCCCAGAGCTGCAGAGGCACTGCTGCCTGCGAGCAGGGGAGGTGTAACTGCAAACACTGCTGTGCTGGTGCAGTGGATCTCAAACTGCCGGAACTGCATCAGTGCTGCTCAGGAAATAAGAGTGTGCCCCTCTGGCTCCTGCCCTGTGGATGGAAGGACTGTCCTGCAGGGTGCCCTTGCCCCGTGCCCCTCATCAGGGGAACACGTTGCTCCTGGCGCAGTGCTGATAGCTGAGCAAATGGCACACACAGCTCATTGCTCTGTGAGGGCTGCTGCTCCTCGCTGCAGTCAGTAGGGCTCTCGGACTCGTGGCCTGATGAGCTCTGTGGGGCCAGAGCCCAGCCCAGGCACCCAGTGGGCAGGGAGCATCTCTGCCACCAACCGACAGGGATGCAGGCAGGATCTGTGAGCACTGCTCCATGCTGTAAGAAGGTCAAACTGCTCGTGGGTGAGGTGGAAGGCATTGCACCGGGGTTACACATAGCACAGCCAATTCACCGCTGACACCGCTTCCAGTTTTGAAGGGTCACTTACAAGGTTGCTTGCAAATAAATCTTAGTGTTTTTAGAACAGTGACTTACAGGATTCAAGAGTTCAGATAAATAAAAGTATTGCATATTACAGAAACTCAAGATGGTATCTCTAATATTATTAAAAGCACAAAACATTTCAGTCTGAGGACACTTATCAGCATTCTCCAAGGGGCCATTTGTGCAGTACTCGGTCTCACCCCACGACCTGATTCAGTGACACCTGAATCACAGAATCACAGAATGGTTGGGTTGGAAGGGACCTCAAGGATCAGGAATCTCCAATCTCCCCTGCCACCCACAGGGCCACCAACCTCCACATTTCAGAGCAGCCCAGGCTGCCCAGGGCCCCATCCAACCTGGCCTTGAACACCTCCAGGAATGGACAGGGCATCCACAACCTCTCTGGGCAGCTGTTCCAGCACCTCACTGCTCTCATAGCAAAGAACTTCCCCCTGACATCCAACCTCAATCTGCCCTCAACTTCAAACCTTTACCCCATTTCCTCCCAGTGCATGGCCCCCTCTGATGGCCCACTTGGGCCCCACTCACCCTGGTCCCCCCACCACCTCACCCTCACCCTCTGCTGCAGAGCTCCCTGCAGCATCGCAGCCTCCCAGCAGCACTCTGACTGCCATCACGCCGGGTCAGCACTGGGAGCACACAAACTCCACTTGTTTCAGAGAAGGAGCCTGGTTCTGAGTTTGCCTTCCTGGACTTCAGTTTTCAGGCACAAATACTGATCTGAAGGCTAAGGAAGAGCAGGACTTGAGCTAGTGTCCTTCAGTCACCCGTTACTGACATGCAATTTAACCTGCAGTTCAAGCTCAGCTCTGCAAAGTCCAACGTCCACTTCAAGAACCTCGTGTACTAACCGTAAGGTAGGTGAGCTCTTAGTGAAAACTACTCCAGGAAAAGCAACACGATGTTTAACATTCTGCCCAATTTGGTAGGGGTTTGCTTTGCTGCAGCTGACACAGCTACAGCCCTGATCATTTGCTCTGCAGGAGACAGCCACTTCTTTATTTTCTACAATGTGGTGCAGTTAAGACTCTTCAATCATTCCGCTTCTAACTTAACGATTACATTGGGAAATGTTTACTCTGTTGCACATTCTGACACCCTCCCAGGGTTTCGCATCAGTCAGTTAATGGCTTATAGGGCTCAGCACCTCCGTCTCTGGGAGCTCCTTTCAGAATGCAAACCATCCAGCACAGCCGCCCGCTTCCCAGGGATCAGAGCCAGCACTGCAGCCACTCACATTGCTCTTCTATAAATACAAACCCAAAAGCACACATAAGCTTATGTGCACATAAGCTGGCACAAGCATTGTGTTTCTGCAGCAGTTGGTACTGCACCGACTCATCCTGCAGCTGTGGCATACTTGACTTTCAGGCACCAGTTAACACTTGAGCCACTTCTGATGACCAAAACTGACAGCTGAGTTGTACATCTTAAAGTGGAGTGACTTCATTTTCATAAAGATGTTGTTCTCAGGCCTCAGAATATCCAGCAGCTGAAAGTGATTGGAAGGTCTCAGTGACGAAGCTGATGGTGGAAAATAGGGAAGAAGCAGGTGGGCACTTGGCCACCCCAGATATCACCGAGCATGGCCAAAGGTGCATTAGCATGTATTAATGAGTCCTTGACAGAGAATGAATCTGTATGCCAGTGTGCTGCATAGGGACGTCTGAACTGTTTCAGAGTAGAACCTGAACTCCAGAAGATCAAACTGCTCGTCACCTGGCCCGGTGCACCTGGTGAGCAATAAAGGAATGCCTCTTTCTAACACCACACTGGAGTTAGAGGGTTCTTCCCAGATTTCAGATGACACTACAGAGCCCATTCTCTGTAAAGCAGCACATGTGACAGCATCCACGATACTGCTTATAAAACAGAGCCCCTTTTTTCAAAAATGATTTTCTGCTTCATGTAAACGTTGTTTCTCCATAAGCATCTCACTAGTTACTTACTAGAGACAATTACAGTTTCACAAGATTTTGCACCACTGAGATTGTCTTCTGGATCTGCCTTTAAAGGAGAGAAAAAAAACCACTGCCTTAAGAATGAGACCTTCTGTTCTTGGGAAGCCATCGGGAGGATTGTTCCCTGGAGCCAATCTGGTCTCCAGAAGAGAAGCAAAGCAGTGCTGGCCTCCTCTGCTGGAGCAACCAACAAGCTGCCCAAGCATGTGTTAAAAATACTGAGTTACCTCGAACAAGACACCAAATTAAAATGCACAGATATGCACTGAGTTGCAATGAGACAAAATGCAGAGGATATTCAGCTTCCGCTGCTCTTGAGCAAGCAGTCTCTGCAGCGTTTCTACCCCAAGCAAAATAACTCAGATTCACTTCAGTACTCAGATTACTTTGCTTCGATTTAAAGCTGCCCATTGCTGCAGCCTGCAGCACCCGCCCTCCCCTGGCTTTGTGATCCCTTCCTCAGTTCTCTGCTTCTGTTTTCACAGCCTCACCCACCCACACCAGAGCAAACCTCCCTCCCTGGGCACCAACCCCCCTCCTGAGGTCAGGATGCACTGCTACATGTTGTCAGCATTACCTTCAGTGCAAGGTGTGAAGAATGGAACATCGCCTGTCAGACTGCAAGGCGCTCAGTGCAGAGCTGCTGAACCAGTCAACAGGAAGAACAGCCTGCTGAGGAGGGCAGCAGCCAGCACAGCTCTGCAGACAGGTTCTGCTGGCAGGGCCTCCAACATCTTCACCCGCAGATCCTCCTTTGGGCAACAAGGAATCACTGCTTCACAGGGCCTTGAGGATGTGTGTCCCATTAACGCCTGTAAAGCATCACAATATTAGGCTAATTAAGTTCCTCTAGTTAACTAGATATGCAAATACGGATGTTCAGATCTTTCTGACATTTATTGTCCTTAGGAACTCTGGGTTAAGCTCCTTGCTGTAACTTGTTTACATACAGAATACATTTTACAGCCATCTTATGTGAGGCTTGAAAATGCAATCAGTTACGAAATGAAATGACATCAATTTACTTTAATTGAAGAGGATCGCACGCAGTGGAGTCCACTCCAAAATAAGAATCCCAGATCTGAAATGGTGTTTATAATGTATAATTCATTCTGAAACACTGCCAATACGAAATTGCTTGCATGACTGGTTTCCAGTAAGTACGACGCAGCAAACTGGTTTCTAAATATAGACAAAGGTTAAGTTCCTTCTGATCGTCATCAAGGAATAGCAGAAAGATCTTATAATTAAAAGAATCAAATTCACAGGCAACCTGGAATGAAAGCCACGTGGGATGCATTTGTGCACCACAATACAATCCAACTCACTGCAAAGCCTTTGGGGTCTGAATTAAAAACCAGAATTCCAAACCATGCTACTCAAATTGACCAGCAGAGTTGGCAGAGGTCTTTCCCATCACTGCTGATCTCCTGCTGGGAAGAAATATGGGGAATCCTGCAGCATGGGGAGTTGAAGAGCAGCCCAGCAGAGCTCCTCAAAGCCTGCACCCAGGCAGGGCTCAGATGTTGCACCGAACGCTGCAAGGAAAGGCACATCCTTTCCTTGAATGATTGCACACAGTGACAACCCAGCAGCTCCATGACACGGCCAGTGAGAATTTATTGAAAGGTCTACTGTTACGGCCCAGATGACACCTCTGAAGCTTCTCTGCTCTTGACACACAAAGTGCTCTACATCTTAAACACTGTAGATTCCATGTCTCTTCTTGGAAGCTTCAGTGGAGGAATTTTTGGCAAAATCTCTTTTGCATAAAGTGTTTTATGAAGTCCAGCTTCTCGAAGAGCTAACTCGACACGAAGCCTGGGGTCAGAAATGATCTGTTAAAATAAACCACAGCAATGATGAAACACAGCCCTACTTTCCTCACTTGCACTGCAAGTAAAGATAAACTGAAAGGCTATTTGTGAATGCACATATAGACACATACATTATATGCTATATATGTTTGAAACAGAAGGGTTCAGAAGGTGATTAAAAATGTCTTGGTCACAAACAGAGCCTTTGGAAGCGAAGAAGTTCACTGGTGAATAACTCACTACACATAGTTTGATATCATTCTTTTTAAGTACTAATGATCACAATCTGTGTAAACAAAGAGCTCTGGTTTTCAGTCCTCATTGTGGCTCAGTTCAAAGTGCAGATGAGAAACTGAGTGAACTCAGCCTGCTCAGGAAAAGGATTCTGACTTCTCTGATGTTCTCCATGAATGCAACCCTGCTTTCAGGACAAAACTTTTAATTCTTCCTGGGTTTTTTTGCCTTTTTCCCTATGGGATATTAGCACTTCGAATGCACTTATGATTTTTTTTCATTGCACTGCTTAGTGACTGCATGGCAGTACCACTTCCATATCTGTAACAGCAAGTAAGGCCCAGGGAAATTAACGCTAAGATTTGACATGAGGTTATCTGACAAAATGCACGGCCTCTTTCAGCTCCCTTGGCTGGGTGCTGGGTGTTGGCAGGAGCAGAGCAGTGCCCACGACCAGCTGAAGTGGGCAGCACGTTCTGAGAACCCACGAATCAACCTCACACACACCTCTTCAGAGCACGCTCAAGCCAGGCTTTTCCAAACCTCACAACATCCATTGGATTTGGGTAAATTTTCTTAGCCAAACAAAGAGCCTTGCATTCGAAATCATTCCCATTCTGGAATTTGGAAATGATACTGACAGAAAGAAGAATGCTATTATGTAGTTCTGTGGCATAAAAGCTTTATTTTAGCGTTGAATAAGCTGAAATGTAATGATGTCTATTACTATGCTTGCCCAGCACTTCCCTTTTTAAGACATTTTAGGGCTTCTCAGTTCCGAATGCATACACTGACAGATGGAGAGTAGTAAAAAAAAAAACAGAACATCTCTCCCTGTGTTGCTTAACTTCAGTTGAAATAGAGCTAGCACTGTCCTCAGCAGAGCAGGCAACCTGAAAACCACCTCACTGCTTACCCCCGACTGGTTTCTCCTTTAGCCAACGCAGTGAGGAGGACTTCCATTTCACGTCAGACACTTAGCACAACACCTACAGGAGCAGGTGAATAGGAGGCACTTTTTAAAGTGAGCGTGTAAAAGCATGAACGGGGTGAGTTCAGAAATGGAGCAATAGCAAAGCACTCAGCAAGCAGTCGGCACCCAGCTCCGCATCCTCCCCACTGGTGGGAGATGTGGCTCAGGGACAGCAGCACAGCCCCTGTGTGTGTGTGTGTGTGTGTGTGTGTGTGCATGCTGCTGTGTGCTGCAGCACTGCAGACTCCTGGGCACACAGCTGGCTCCACCCATTGCTCCTAAGGATTTCAGTTTCACGTACATTGTGTTCTGTGTTCTGCCATTAGTGTTACTATTTCAGCTACACACCCGTTACCACCTGTTGCTCTCACAGTACGGTGGCATACAATAAAGCATGCAGTATAAGGACAGGCTATTACCTGCTCTTCACTGTATGTTTGCAACTGAAACAGCGGCTTCTGAAGAACAAACTCTTCTGTGGACCCAACGCCCATCCGAGCTTTAGATGCTGCAGTATCAGCCACCACTCTTGCTGGGTCTGGTTTTGCTACGATGGAAACCTAAAGCACACAAACGAAAACAAGCGTTACAGGCTGTGTAGGGACACGGTGGTATCAGTAACACACGGCCCTTGAGAGCACCATCGCTGACATGGTTTAGAACCTTAAACCAACCTGCCTCCATACGTAAGGGCTGTAAAGCCAGAAAGTTGAGCCCAGAGCCTGTGCATCCCCCCAGGGGCACAGGACCAGGTCCCACCGCCAGCACAGCCCTGTGCTCTCTGAATGCTGCCAGCAGCACAGCTCCCAGCCAGGCCCTGCCAGCAACCTCCAAGTGCTGTAACACAGAACAGAGGGGAAGATGCAAGGTGTCAATGCAGGAAAACTGCCTCAAACCAAACACTGAAAACCACTTTGATGCAGTGAAACTCAGGGAGATTTTTTCCAGCTTCCCAATAGAGACAATTTAATTGCCTAGACTTCATATAGCACTGTGCATGACTGGTAAGTGCAGGGCTGCCACAGCCTGGAGAACTGCCTGCTATACTGGCAGGCTGCACACAGAGCACCTGCACACTGGGAATGCCAGTGCCAGTCCTTACAAACTGAAATAAACCTGAAAGCCAAATGGCATTTCTATGAAGAGAGAGCTCATGATGCTAGCTCAAAAATGCTGTGGGGAAACAAGCCTATGTTGAACTCCAGGCTACCAGAGGACAGCCCCTCCTGAGGACATGCACCACTGCTCTGTGCTACAAGGGCAGTGTGTGGCCCTGGGTGCAAAGGAGACCTCAGGGGTGGTACTACAGCAGTGTCAGCATCTGCAGCTCTAGCACAGATTGACACGAGATCTGATGTTCACAGCCCATAACCAAAGCAGCCAGCAGGCTCAGTTTAGCCCCGTCCATATTTCTGGACATCTCAGTGCACTTTAACTTCTTAATATTCTTCCTGTCAGTTACAAAGCATGTAAGATTTATAGCACGACAGAATCAACACTAATATCAGACCCGGAGTGCATTTTAGCTCCTTCATTTATTTGCTTGTGGTGTAACATTTTGTTTTACCTTCCATGTAGTATGTCAGCATGTGCTCTGTCTCTACTGCATCTGAAAATACCACACGTAAGAAATAGAAGCACCTTTTGTCGAAGTGCTTCCAGGCATTTCTCTTTCTCTTCTGCTGCACAGGCTTCTCGAAGGGCCTCCTCCTTTTTCTCCAGGATCCTCTTTTCTAGCAGCCCTTGTCTGAACTCCACCCTGTAAAACAGCATGCATACAAACAGGAAAACTGGTCAAGTTTCACTTTAAAGTTGTTACTTTCCAATTGAAAACTAGCCTGATGCTCTCTTATGCCCACCATCAAAATTCCTGACAAACACAAAGAATGCCATTCCCTTTATATATTTTTTATAAGTTGGTTAACCTTTCAGACTTCATTTCTACAACCCTAGCTCTTCTCTAGCAAGCTTTAAACTTTATAGCACCATTACTCACTTTTTTCCATTTTCTTTGCCAAGAAGAAATGTTCTCTGACATCTGTGTATGGCAGCACAACTGTTCCCTATAGCCCTTCTCATTTAAAGAAACAAATCCCTTCCAAGAAGCAAGAAAACTCATGAATTAAAAACTTTCTCCGAAGGAACAAATGGAGCTCAGCACAGATAGGTCCCGAATCTTCACCTACGGCACTGCCTTCACTGGTCAGCTTCCTGCAGCAGGTGTTTACAGCCCTTGAGATACCACGGCCACCATACCACCATGCTTCATTCTGCTTCTCAGCCCGCTGCCAAAGTCTGTTTCTCACGAAGCTGCAGGATGTTCTGTGGTGCATCACTGGCAGCCCTTCACACAAGCTGCTGTTGCCACGGTTTGCCTTCAGGGAAGCACAGAAATAAGGGCTGCTTCAAGGCAGCAGAGCTGTTGTCATTGCTCTCAACGTTTCGTTAGCTCCAAGGAGCACACATGCTGTGCACTGCACGTACTGGAACTGAATGCGTAGTTGTGCTGGTGGCTCCAAAAGAGCACTGCAGCCACAGCCCAATAACAACTACTGGGACAAATATGTTGGTGCTAAGAGAGCAGTACAAAGCAGCTCATGGATGCCCTGGAAAGGCTTTCCACATCACTGTATGGAATAGAATAGAATCATAGAATTGCTCAGGTTGGAAAAGACATTAAAGGTCATCAAGTCCATCCACAACCCAACCATACTGCCCTAACTCTAACAGCCTTCTGCTAAATCGTGGCCCTCAGCACCACATCCAAACGCTTTATAGAATCAACGCTCGCAATGGAAATCTTTACAGGTCATTTTTTTTTCCCTGGGAGAAAATTTAATCAGTTTTTCATATGCAGAATATTTAATAAAAAGCAGAAATACTCTTTGAAAGTGACAAAATTATTTTACATAAAAAATCCTTCACTCTGCTTGAGCCGAGTGCTACGAGTTCTAATTATCAGATACAAAATTCAACCGCTTGGGAACTTCTAAAACTGAGGGCACACATTCAGGTCTAAGCTCACACGTTTTGCTGCAGGAATTCTGATTCACATCGGGGTGTGAAGCTTTGATAAAATCAAACGCAAATGTTTTACCCAGAGTGAAGTTGCCAGTGACTGGAAATGAATAGCAAGGCAGCCAACAGGCAGAGTAGGGCAGCGAAGGGACCCAGAGTTTTGTTGCTGTATGAAATTAAGTAAAATTGATTTTACACAAAGCTAAAAATTAAGATATTTCAATACTCAATCTTGATTCTAAGTACCACTCTAAGTACTGATTTTAATAAATCTCCAGCTGAAAAACAAGCTGAGCTGCTCAGGCTCAGTAAAACTGCCTTGAAGTATTGTGGGCACACTTATGTAACTTTGGACAAGCAGAATTTCACTAAAACTCCGCTTCAACACAACACCTCATAAATGTTCAATAGGAAAAAATGTACTACAGCTTATTGGGACAGATATAGTTGGAATTGGGAGGGGAGGGGAAGGTTTATAACACAGGTAGCATTTTTGCATGTATCAGAACCTACCTTATTCCCTGTGTCAGTTCAATAAACACCTCATTCATATTTAAATCTCTGCTTTCAGTGGGCCACACGCAGACAGGCAGTGCTCCCAGCATCTTGTTTTGGGGCCTTTACTCCTTCAGTTTGGTCACAGCCCTGGTTATCCAGCATTTCATGCTTACCCAGTGTGACCTGAACACAGCAGCAAGTCTGGGACATATATTTATATTCAATCATTATTTTATAAGCCCAATTGCTTAATTTGAAATTAAACATAGAAACAATTCTGGATAGGGGCAGAACATTTTTTGGTATCTGATTGCATCCATTAGAAATGCTCTGTGTCTGCCCAGGCTGTATCTCCTCCTTGGAACAGCCAGCTGGCTCACACCAAACCTTCCCCTTTCCCAAAAGAGCCTGAGGACATATCAGGTCACAATTGCTGTGCTGCTCTGATCCATCTTTTACAATCAGCTCTGCAAAGACTTAAAGACGTGTTGTGTTCTGGGACAGGCAAGCATGTGAGGATACAATGAGTTGCTGTAGGACTGCAGTTCTTCACTGTGAAATCACTACACCAGCACCCTGCCTTCAGTACAACACGTGCCTGACGCCGTGCCAGTAGCACTACAGCTCCTAGTAACAGAAACACCTCTCTGCCCCTATTTGATTAATATTTGTGAAGGCTTCGGAGATGAAAAGCACAGAGCATTATTAATCTCCGCAAAGAGCAAGCATTTTCCTTCAAACTGTTTTATTTTGTACAGTATGCCGATTCAGGGAAACATAATGCTGAGCATTTGCTGACGTTTGATTCATAATAGCCTGAAGGTATGATTGTTTCCTCCCTGCATTCCTCAATGAACTGTGCCATTTCCTTATATTTTATCCCGCAGCGTTTATTACCATAAGAAAAGAACGCTCCCCAACTGCCTGGCACACTGCAGTGTACAGGTTTAAAGAAAAGTCATTTTCTCCTATTCTGTTCTGCTGAAAACTCAGTAATTCAAGCCCTGTATTTCCTCTGCTCTTGGCTAAAACCAGTGCCAGGAACGTTTGAGGCACGGTGTAGGAGTACTCCCAGCATAAACCTAAACTCAGCTGTCAGAGAGGCACCGTAGCAAAGTCAGATGGAAGCAGTGTTTCACCATGAATGACTACGATAAATTTCAGTCTTTAAAAGTCAACTGAACTTCATCCCTATTTTAATTCCATTTCCAGTCTGCTCACCTGGCGAGTCATTTCATGTAAAAAAGGCAAACTTTTCATTCGAGAGCAGTTACAACCAGACTGCATACAATGGCTTTTTAATGGTCCTCCTTCCTTCAGCAGGTCATTAGAGACCACATTCCGCAGAGAAGACTTGGCACAGGTTGAAACACAGACAGGCTCAGCCCATTCATCAAACAAGCAAATAGCAGCTACCAGGAATGCGCTGCAACATACATCGTTTGTATTTCAGTTCCACCCTTAGAAGCATCCTGGTTCCCACATACAGAAATCACCACCAAGATTTTCTCACTGGCATTGGTTAAAATCCTAAATGCAGTTTGCTTGAGAAGAAGAAAGCAAAGAGTTCCATGGAAATACTTGATCCAGTGCAGTACCATTTGCTGTGTCAACAACTGAGAGCTCTTCATGCAGAGCAAGAGCAACAGCTTTTACTAAAACTAGGTCTGAATACTCAACACTGAGTAATTATTTGATTATCTCAAAATTCAGGGACACAATTTAAGGTTCTCTGAAAGGATGATAAGTGTCTTTAAGGCTGCAGATGCTTCGTGTGCTCCCCTTGCTGCCTTCAAACAAAAACACACCTGATCAATATGGAAAATAGCACAGAAGGTTCAGCTACCCGTCCACAACATGGAGCTCAGCAAGCATGAAGGGAGCTGGACTTCATGTGTGTGCCCTTCTTTGTTTGCAGCTGTTCATTGCTTACATGGCTCTGATGCTGTGACTGATTTGAATTAATTTAAAAGAAGAAATAAATTGTGTTCAGAATACAGCCATGATGCAACCTTCACGTGTCAAGTGGGGAAACCAGCAAACAGGAACAAAAAAAGCACTTGATTTTGTTTTAAGGTGAGAGGTAGGGAGAACAAAACAAATTCTGTTGTAAAAAGTCCCTACTGACAGTATATTCACATGTCATGTATCTTACCGTTCTCTGTCTTTAATTGCTTGTTTAGCCATTAATTTCCTTAATTCCTCCAAACGTTGGAGCTCTTTTTCTTCCTGTTCTTGCCACTTCAGCTGTTTCTCAGCCAAGTATTTTTTAACCTAGAAGTTGAACAAACAGTGAACAAACCAACGACCGTCCATAAGCCTAATTTCCAAGAAGAGTTCAGACACCTGTAGACAGGAATCTGTGTACGAGCCCAAATGTACTGTGTGTGCCATGAGTCTTTGATTACATTCATAACATAAAGCAGTTAAACCCACATAAGGTGATGGGACAGTCATGGCACCTTAATTTGGCTGTGGGAAGTAACATTATGCATACTGGCACCACAGCCCTCCAGTCAGTTGTCACATGGAAACCCCAACAAGCTGCTGCCCTTGATCTCCTGTTCTTCCTGACCTCGTGGCTCCTGTCATCACGAAGCACAGCTGGCCTGGCCTGCCTCTACCTGTTGGTAACACACAATAGTACCAACATGTAGTAATACAAGCCAGATTCCACACCCTTTCCATGACATACTGCCTGTTTTCTTTTCTGCATTACACTGAGCCCTCTGCTCAAGCCACGCAGAGCTGGGGTGACATGACAGATCTACAAGTGGTAACACTTGCAGTTTCTCTTTGTCAGCCACTCCTTCATTTCTACCTTTTCTTCCCAGTGGACTTGCAGGTACCAGAAGAAAAAGACAAGTTGGGACACAGAGATAATGACATGCCCTGATGTGCCTCAAATCAGCAACAAACAGAAAAACAGCCAGAGCACAGCATGGTGCATCACCCTGCCACAGGGCTGAATGAGGAAGCCCCAGACCTGTTAGAAGCAGTGGATTTCCTGGCAATTGCTGCAATCACCTGTGTCACTGACTGATCAAACCGAATTTAGGCCTCTCCTGGAGATGTTAGCTGGAGCAGCAAAGTTCCTCCTCTTATGCAGTATACCTCGTGAAGCAAAAATTGTAACGGTTCTGGTTCAAAATAACACAGGTCTCCAAACAGTGCTTCTATTTCAGCATTGCTAACTTACAAGTCACTTGTCTCCTTAGGGCATTCTTTATGCATGGAGAACATGAAAACAAGGACTGCAGAGAAGCATTCTAAAAAAAATGGTTATCAAATCCTGTTTGGAATACTTTTAAAACAAAACTCTCTCTTTTGGAATTATTCTGCATCCCACACTGTCTGAAGGAATTTTCATAATCTGAGTAGAGGCCAATGGATATTTCTGAAATTCGGTATTTAAATACACAGGAAGAATGTCTGATCTGCAGACTAATTGAAGAAGCAGAGCATTTGTACCTATTGCCATTGCACCCCTTCTCGGATTTAGGAGTGGAGGCATCTGATGCAGCCTGCACACCCGGTCACACCGATCACAAATATTCCACCTCCTGCTTTGCTGTCCCAGCACACAGAAGCGGCCACACGCCGTGTTTGCAGCCCTTCCTTGCAGCCCAAGATGTCATTTACTCAAATGGAACATACGACTGCTGACCTCAAACAGCTGCCATCCCATCTGCGCATAGGCAGAGAGCTGTTCCACACAGACATTATCCACAGGCAAGGGGAAGGTGGAAAATATATACAACTAGGTATACAACTATATGTACAAGTAAAATATTTACTCATGAAATTAACATTGCTGGCAGTCAGGTCAACACAGCTCACAGAGCCACCTGCCACTATAAACACTGCGTGAGAGCAGACAGCTCTACAGAACAAGCCTTAATCACAGAATCACAGAATGGCCAGGGTTGGAAGGGACCTCAAGGATCATGAATCTCCAACTCCCCTGCCACATGCAGGGCCACCAACCTCCCTATTTAATGCTAGACCAGGTATTTGGTTCTTTAACAAAAAGAAAAGTAGCAGCACCGTTTCTTGCAGCAAAGAAGCAAACTGCCATTAGATCCGACTCCCCTTTCTCTGTACCTCTCACTGTGGTGCTGGCAGTGGAACCACAGAGGCTCACCATCACACGTCCAGCTGAGCCCACTCACACGCTATCCATCAGACACAGCCAAAATGCCACCACGTCTCACCCTGCAAACTCCGATATGGAAAGTGACTGCGGATAACAAACGTACAAGTTCTCATGATTTCTGCTTCCTGCTTGGCTCGTAGCTTTAAATCCAGAGCCTAAACGGGCAATAAGATATCAGCAAACTGCAATTACACAGAAATAAATGTCAGTGTGAAAAAAATCTTATGCATAATGTGGTTTTGTAACACAGTGCACATAATCTTGAAAAATTCCCCTGCGTGTATTTGTAGAACTTCTGTTTTTAAAGTTCAGTTATGGTGTCTACTACCACAAGCAAAGCAAAAGTAAAGAGAAAATCCAGGCTGACTGAAGCTGACCCAAGACTGCTCTGAAGAGAAAGATTTTCAAGGCCAGGTTGGATGGGGCCTTGGGCAGCCTGGGCTGCTCTGAAATGTGGGGGTTGGTGGCCCTGCCTGTGGCAGGGGGTTGGAGATTCGTGATCCTTGAGGTCCCTTCCAACCCAACCATTCTGTGATTTCTCTGCCTGTTTTTTCACACACATAAATATTCTTTTCTGCACATTTGAATCTGAAATTATACTCTTAAATATAAATGATTATAATAAAATATAATTAAAATAATAATTAAATTATAGTCTTAAAGATAAATAGAATAAGGATAAATAAAACAAATTAAAACAAGTATAAAGCCATGAGTTGTCTGGTCAGACCTCAGAGCAGACCCTACTTTCAGCAGAACTAAAGAGCTGTTGATGTCCCTTCTAATCTGAATTTTTTTCCTTAGGAAAAGTGAAAGCATTCTGAGTATTACGAAGGAAAGAGAAACATCTCATTGAAGTGACTTTTGGACAATTTTCTAACTATGTGATTTAGGATGGCTTGGCAGGAGGACGCATTCTGCCAAGAATGCATCCATAATCTTTAAGATAAATGGCAGGAAAGGAAGAAGATTGGGTGACAAATGGAAGCAGGAACTTCTTCAGCTAGACAAGAACCTGGATGTGTGCAAAATGCAAAGCCGTGACAAGAACAGTGAAGTCACAAATCCAATAAAACTGATTAGAAATTAGGCAGCTTTTCAAATGTTGGCTCTGGGGACTTACAACAAGGAGAACTAACGAGTGGACAGCAGTCCACCTGCAGGCAAGGCTTCAGCAAAGCTTCGGCTTCTTTTCTCCAGGCACCACTTTCATTCCGGTGCTCCTTTGCAGCACTGTCTCTACAACCCTTCAGCAGTTGTGCACAACTACCAGCAGGAGCCTTCAGCACGGGCTGCTGCTTTTGCCCCGTCTGTCGTGGCAGAGAGACGTGTCTCTTCAAACAGAGCACAGAAAAAATATTTGAGTGCTATAGAAGTAGATAGGGAAAATCCAAGTGGTGAAGGATTTTATTTCCATTTTTCCGCTAAGGCATTTGTTTCCAGCAGCCTGCAAGTCATTTATTTTGGTCTGCTATCATCTCCTTTCTGCTTTTACTAAGTGTTGTAAAGTAAATTGCTTTAGTAATAACTTAAGCAAATTGCTGTAAAAATAGATAGCTTCAGTTTTTTCTGCAAGGACTATCACTGCAAGAGACACATCTACTGAAATGAGTTTCCATCAGTTTCTAGGGAGTCTAATTGCCCATGTTTTAGTCCCATCAGTAAACATTTGCTCCCACTAAGGCATGTCACACAGAAACTAGGAGGGTACATAAAGAAAAGAAGGCAAAGTCTAAGGGAAAACATGATAACTTACATGAAGATTTCATTTTCCTTCCTATTTGCCCAAGCTTTCTGCAGTGAGGCACAGATTGATGCCACTACAGCCTCCAAGACACACTCTGAAAGCAACTCTGCTTGAAATAGTTCAGGCCTTTCTTTTCTCTTCTTCTAATTGCCATGTTATAACAACACAGCTCTTAGTGCCTGTCCTCACAAACATGTTAGCATGAGAAGTCCCATTACATTAAAGGAGTTCATTCACTCGCCAGCATCTGAAAGACCAGCCAATAACAACCTATAATATTCTCCTACTTATTCTTTCCAGAAATAATTTTGCAGTCTTAGCAAATATTCCACAGGTAAATTGGACTCTACGCAAGCCAGATTTCATTGCAAAAGTAATCAGAAAAAAGGACAGGATTTTAATACTAAAACCTCCTGAATTTGTTTCCTATCCATCAAATAGAAAGGTCAACAGAAATACAGAGGTGACAATTTGATTTTACAAACACTCCATATTCCCTATTTCTGATTTCTATTAAGTTGAAGTTCAGATTTAAGTGGTGACCACACAAGTGCTTAGAACAATGTCCTGCAGACCTGCGGTACCCTGAGCTGGTTAATAGCATCGCTGTGCTCCAGGTTCACTTTTAAGGTCCTTGTGCTGCAAAGTGCAGAGCGCTGTCTTGCAGACAACATGCTGTAAAGCCCATTTGCTGCATTGCAGCATATTTAACTGCAGCTTTCATAGTCTTTGCCACACTGCTGAGAAGCACAGGACTGTAAGAGCCCAAAGCCTCTGGTGCCTCAGTGCTGAGGCTGGGTGACACCCAGATAGCTCCAAACACTGTCTTTGTGAGACCCTTTTGTTAGGAGCAAAGTAACACAGATGCACAAGCAGAGGCAGGTTTAAGGCTAAAAGGGAAGCACCGGGACTCCATGGGCCGCTGATCTCCGTACTGACACTAAATCTGCTCCAAGAACACAGAGCAGCAAGATCAGCTAAAGCTTCTAAAGGCAGTTGTAAATCACGAATGCAGAAATACTTTAAAAAGTTTCTCATACTTTTTCTTTCTCCTGAGCTCTGCGAATCATTTCCTGCTTTTTCTGTAGCCTTTCTTTCTCATCTTCCTTTTCTTTTCTTCTAGCAGCTACAGCAGCTTCCAGCTCAGCTGCCTCCTCCTGTTGTGCTCTCCATTGTAGGACCTGAGAGAAAGAATTGAAAAGACTGTTTAAACAGCTGTGCAGGAGAATGTGTGCAATGTTGTGATCCTGCTAAACTGACACTGGTAAGGAAACCCGTGTGATCCATTTTCAAACTGAAATTTGTAACCTGTCAGCAATACGTAACCATTCAGGTAGCACTGTCTTTCTGCATATTAATTTATAATTCACAGCTGACTTGTGTATTATGCAGTAAGAACACGTACGGAAAGATTAGGTAAAATTGCCAAAAGAACCTCAGCAACATCGGATCTTAAATCTTTCCAGCTCTTGGACTTTCAATAACGGTTAAGTTTCTTAATGACCCCATCATTTCCTTTATGAAGGGATCTATAACTGTGGCACTCAGGGCAGTCTGGTGAAACGCTCCTGACAGATGCTGCCAGTGCCCAGGAGTAGGAAGGGAAAGCTGTTATTCCTCAGAAGCAAAACGCAGCTGATTGCCTTGCAGCCATTCTCTAAAGCACGGACACAGTCGGGATTAAGCTGCTGTAGCCTGAGAAATGGCAAACGATCGTCTGAGCCTCTGTCATTAAGTATCCACATCCCAACCCCACGGAAGTGCCCTGTTTGCTCCGTGCAGTACTTGACCGTGAGTCAAGCAGGGAAAAGTGAAAATGATCACAAAACCAGCAAATCAGAGGAACAGACGGAAATGAGGAGTCAGCACAGGCATTAACGCTGTGGGTGTAAAGCGGACGCGCAAACAGGAAGAGACCTGGGGAGCGAGCTAACAGAGCAGCCTCAGGACCAGAGAAGAACGACTGTACCAAGATTCCCCAGCAAGCAGACCAGCACGCGGTGCGGTGCCAGCCCAGGGCAGTGGGACGCGATGCCTTGCGGCCCCAGCCAGCTCCGTAGCCGTGCGCAGCTCGGCAGCCCCAGCTGACGGCCCCGGCTGCCCGCGCTATGGCAGGCTGCCCGCGCGGGACGGATCCTGCTCAGCATCCCGAACCCACCGCGAGGCACCGCTGCGTGCTGCTGAACGGGCCGTGTCAGCAGGCAGTGACTGCTTCCCGTGCCCTGCAGTGCGTTGCTCGCAGCGGGAAGCCCCGACTTCCCCCGGCGCTGTCGCGAGCAGCTCATCTGTTACGCGTGGCTTTCAATGGGATTAACGCTGTCTCCCTGCTGCTGGCTTGCCAGCTCTTTTGGCAATGGTTTTCTGAAGTGTTAGCAGACCTCCACGTTCCTCAAAAGAGTGAGCCTACAGCCATTCCTCACCTGGCTTTCTATACTACTGGGGGTACTTGCATACTGGCAGTAAAGCATCTCGTTTGCATTTTGCCATCTTTAATGCATTTCACCGGCTGCACCTTGCACCATTCATTCTCTCCCATTCCCATGCAAGGCCTCTGGACACGCAGAGCGCTGGCGGTCCGTGTCCCCCAGTGAGCAGATCTCTGCAGGACAGATCCCGTGTTCGCCCCTCTGTGCTGAGACAGCATTTCTACTTTCTTCTTTGCAGCCAATAGACCCAGGGTATCTTCAAGCTGATGTCCCATTGCGTTGTTACTCTCCCAGAGCACATACAACCTTTTCCAGCTTCAGCTTCATTCCCAGAGCTAAGAACTGCAGTGCGGGTGAGTGAGTCTTGTACTTCGAAATGCACAGGGCCAAGCTGTGCCAGCAAACACCAGTGGGGATTTGAGTGTGTGCTCACATAATGGCAGTCAGCACAGAGACAGCTATCTTTTTTTATTATTATTATTTTGGCTATTCTTAGAAAGGATTTTGAGCTGGAATTCAGAATTGTATACTATGGAAAGAAAATGTTAAAACATTACTGCTGTATTCCTCAGCACAGATGCTTCTCTTTATAGATGATCTTTCTCCTCAGAATTTTGAAAACGTTCCCTTAGTAGAAGCTCATATCTTGGCTGTATAAGTAAAAACAAACAAACAGACAAAAAAAAGAAAACCATTTACTACAGTTTCTTTGGCAGTGGTAAAATTACCCTTTCACTCCTAAAAAGAAAAAAAAAAAACAAGCATAAAACCCAGCCCTTTCAGCCTGCCAGAGCTTAAGCAGGAGCATTAGAACACGAGCATGGAAGAACACGCAGCCATTTCCACTTCGTGTTCGAAACAGCAAAACAGACTGAAACAAAAACATTCATGAAGCTTTCAAATCTAACAACAAAACAGAGGAAGAATGAAATCTGTGAGACGTGTGTGCAGACTGGGGCTAAAATAAACTGCTGGGAAACTGACAAAACTTAAACTGCTGTAATAACAACACTACTGGAGATACTCTGAACTTAAGTGAGCCAGAGTTAAAATACATATCCAAAAATTGCCTTTTTAAGCTTGCATTTTCCTTATCCCTGCTTTGCATTCGCCTCAAGCTCCTTAGAATAATGACAAGTGCCAGCCTAAGTGGGGTCAAGATGTGCTGCAGCTTCAGCCTCCTTTAAGTCTGAGAACCCTCCTGATGCCTTACTGACCTTCTCCAGATATTAATTACCTACTTACCAGGATCTCTTTCATTTGTTTTATTTCAGCCATTAGTTAGCATGCTGAACCATTAAAAAGGTTTTACTAAATCTGCAGTTAACTGGAACTTCAGGGGAACTTCTATCTATCTCAGTACATATTTACAATCAGAAGTGTCCCAACACAGAGCCTGTCACCAAGGTAACTGATTAAAGGAAAGCCTATGGCAATAAATCAGTACATTGCATCTGATACTAAAGATACCAAAACTAGTCTGAAAACATCTCAAGCTTCCTTACCTGTTCATTTTGGTTAGCAATTGTGCTCATGGCATGTATGTTACACCAGCCTCATGACAAGTCTCTCCCTAGTTACATGCATATAACTCTTCTCTTAGTGTCCTTTCATTCATGGCAGAGATCACTATCAGGGTGTGATCGAGATTTTCAGCAGGTTACATACAAATAAGTGGGCATAACAAAGCATCAAATACAGGATTTCACTCATCTGCATCACAAAACATGCAAAAATGTTTACCAGCCAAAACTGATGCACATCAATAATAAATACAGTGCTTACCTCCACTGCTTTCCCCAGCGCTATCTACACTGCCCTAAATCACTACTCAACACAAGCATTTACTTAGTGGATATAATCTGCTTTCCACTTTCATCTAATCTAGTTAGGATTTCCAGGTGTATGAGTGCATTGCAGAACAAGAAGATAGAACAGAATGAGCAGAAGGAAGGAAAGTTTCATTATATCATACTTCCCCTCAATACCCATTTACTCTTTCCAGGAGGCAGCACATGAAATTAGGTTTCACCACCCCTGCCCACTCCCACATTCATCCGATCAATGCCTTTCATTAAGGCAAAAGAAGAGTCACGTTCTTTAAAAAGCGATTTGCTGTTGCAACAAAAAAGGAAAAACTGGCAAGAGCAGAAAGTGACTGTCTGCAAAATATTTCTGAGAGGCGATTCAGTAGGTTGGCGCTATGTCATGTCTGCCCCAAACGAACTGCTGAAGTCATTTAGGATAAAACGCTCCCAACTAAACTAAGCTAAATTAAAATCCTCTATTATGTAAGAGATTCCAAAATCTAGGCATTGAGCAACTAAGTCTAACGTCAAAATGATTCAGTTTTTAAACCACATTTGAGCATTACAGCCATCTTTCTGCTAGTTCTGGTCTCATGGTCTCACCTTACGCTGCGGTCAGAATGCCTGTATAGGGGAACTTCTCAGAAAGCACCACCCAAAGAAGGCACAGGCCAGATTTCAAATCAGATTCCTGCTAGCATTGGCGCAGCTTGTGAAATAAGGAGCTAGACTACCTTGACTCATGACAAAAAGGGACCAGGTGCGCTGCCTCGTGTAGAAATCAAACCTTCCCGTGTATCTGATGCAGCCAACTGTATCCTTCACTGCATCAACAGAAGTGTGGCTAGCAGCTCAGGGAGGTGGCCGTGCCTCTCTGCTGAGTCCCCTGCAGTGCTCTGGGACCCCCAGCACGAGGACATGGACCTGCTGCAGGGTTCCAGAGAAGGGCCTGGGGATGCTCAGGGTGCTGGGACAGCTCTGCGTGGGGACAGGCTGAGGGAGCTGGGGTTGTTTATCCTGCAGAAGATAAGGCTCCAGGGAGACCTCATAGGGGCCTTTCAATACCTCAGGGGACTCTTCATCAAGGAGTGCATTGATAGGACAAGAAGTAATGGCTTTAAAGTAATAAAGGGTAGATCCAGGTTAGATTCTAGGAAGAGATTTCTTATTCAAAGGGTGGTGAGGCCGTGGCACTGCCCTGAGCTGAGGTCCCCATCCCTGGAGGTAAGCCAGGCTATGGGTGGGCCCCAGGCAGCCTGAGCTGGGAGGCAGCCAGCCCACAGCAGGGGCTTTGGAACTGGATGGGCTTTACAGTCCTTTCCAAACCCATCTTGTGCAGTTCTGCGATTCACTTTGCAAACTACGCTTCACTACATATTTGTACAGCTCGTAACTCTGTGGAGCCCAATCCTATCTGAGAGCCTCTGGGTCCTGCTGCAAAGTCAACAACAAGAAAGGGCAGGCAGAGAAATGGAATCTCTGTGGCATACATTTTAATACTTTACAATAGTTTACAAGTGACTACAGGACACTCAGTTTCCAAGCTTTTCAAGAAAAACCACTGCATTCATTGGGATTTTCCTCCAGAGGAGAACAGATACAGGTCTGAAGAAGAAAAACAACCCTTAACAGCATTTCTGATGATCCACTAAAGAATAATCTGGGACCATAGAATGCACCAAAAAATTAATGTGTACTTCATTGCATTCTTCCCTTCTTAGGAGTGCAAAAACCTAACAGGAGATCTTACTGTGTCAGCAGTAAATGCTTTGTTTAATAATTTAAAAAAAAAAAGGTGGTTAAACTAATATTAAAAATTACACTGAAAAGTGGATCCCCTGTTGTCTGTTTCACAAAGAAACTTGCATCTTAGCAGTACAAGTACTGCCAACATTCAGTTTGGAAAGTTTTTAATTACAACTGGCATTTCAAGTATGTTTCACAGTC